ATTATTATTATTATTATTATTATTATTATTATTATTATTGTTATTATTATTATTATTATTATTATTATTATTATTATTATTATTATTATTATTGTTATTATTATTGTTATTATTATTATTATCATCATCATCATTATTATTAATAATTATTATCACTACTATTACTATTATTACTATTTGTTTATTATTATCTATTATCAATTATTATTTGCATTGGTATTATTGCTGTGCTTTCCTATTATTCTTAATCTTACTTTGCTAATAATTTATCAGTGAAACGGTAAGCATTATGGAATATACAGTGCTAAGAAGGAATCATATTATAGAGAATGTATTGAATTTTAAAAATTTCATTTAATTTTATTAATTTTTAAATATCTAGGCATTAACAGTATTTGCTCGCATAAATTGGATTCCTGAGAAATATGAAATAATTGAAGTGGAATTATGCCGTGATCCGGTTCTTGGACTTGGAATTACAATCGCTGGTTATATTCATAAAAAAGGTTACTAATTGAATTACTTCTTAATTACTTTTGATTCCTTACAATAATACTTTTAAATGGTATAAAATATTTAGAATTTCATTGAAATCATATAAAACGAAATGGAAGATAATTTAAACAAATATTGGACTTAAATTAAATACAAAATTAAGTACAAAATTAAGTATGAAATTAAGTTTCATTTAGAAATGAAATAAAATTTAAAAGTGCAATAATGAAATTATTTGGTATAGACTGATCCAATAAAGTGATTTTTTTTTTCGATTTAAGTAAACCAAAGCGAGAACAATATGATTTTTATTGCCTTACTTGGAATTAATTAATCAAAGCCATAAAGTTAATTTACAACAATTTATTTTGCTTTCATTTATTAAATCTAGTTGTATTTAATGCCTTATCTATAGGATATCACAAAATATAATTTAACTGAAATAATTAAATACAATTAAGTGCCTTTTATTAAGCACTTATAGGGGTATTTTAAATTGTTAAATAATTAAAATACTTTCAATTTAATGAAAATTTTTCAATGATAGGATTTGAATTTCTAATAATTTATCAAATCTCTTTCCTTCTTCTTTTTTTATTTTTTCTCTAACAATTACAGCAATTTCCTGTACTAAATATTTATATTATTGTCTCCATAATTTATTACAAGAAATTAATTAGCTTAATAAATTTCTCAAAAGTTACCTGCCAGCAATGACATGAACATGAAATATAAATACTCCAATGGTAGAATATCAATATTCATATTCATTCCAAATTTTAATTTTTGATCTTTCTAATGAAAATGTGAAGATAACGATATCGAATGTATGTAATTTGATAGGCTTATTTCCTGAAGATATGGGCCAAGCTGAAACTTATATGAGAAAGAGAAAAGCAAAAGAAAATTAGTCGATCCCACGTTACACCCTTCTAATGAAGGCATTCTTTGTTATGTCTAGCCTAAGCTTGCAAAATGATGCCATGATAAGTCTTGTCCTTAAGAAAAGAAAAAGAAAGGCCTACCATCATCAACAGCAATGTGTTGTTCAATATTGCATCACAATTCACCAGCCTCTCCAGACATTAAATATTATGATGTGACATTCGCCGTTTTGGCTAGTACTTTTTGTTCTCAGGTAGTAAAGTTGACAATCTTGATAAGTTTGTTTTTCCTCGAAATAATTGGAAATTTTAATGGAATAAATTTGAATTTAAGTGTGAAAGAAAATATAATTTGTAATTTACATTTGGTTATTGTTAAAAGAATTCAAATTTGTTTCATCTAATTTCATTGGCCAATTTTTTTCTCTTTTTAAGAAAATTACAGAATTGAATTATCTATTTGTTTTTTGCGTTAAAATATTTATGATAAAATTTAACCAGGCTCTTTTTTTTGAAGCCTGGGAGCTTTGGAACTGTGTAATCCTTTTTTTAGGTAGTGTCTTATATATAATTTTGAAATATTTTATCATATTAATATTGTCATAAACTAGAAACTTAAAAAAACTTTAATTTAAAAACTTAAAAAAAGAGCCTGCAAATATTTAAAAATTAAAAATCTTCAATTTATTTTGATCTTTAGCTTTATATTACAACCAGAAAAAAAATCAAACATATTAATTAACTTTCAAAGTTTTCGCTTTAATATTTTTCATACATTATTGCTGCTTTAATCGGCTACCTTTAACCTTTAACCTTTAGATTTACCAGTGAAAATTTTTTCTCCACATCACATTACTACTATCAAATGGAAAGACTATCATTGATTGTTATCATTTTGTCAAAGTCATCTAGTGACACATCTGTAATATCTTCGTAAAATTACAATTAAGAACAAAAAAAAGGAAAAAAGGGAAACTAGAATTTATTCACAAAATATTGAGCTAATTTTTTAAAAAAAATTATTTATTCATTTAAGAAATGTATATGTATGCTTGCATATTTTTTTTAGTGCTAGCTTTTTTTTTGAAATGATTTTCAAAAATTTTGGAGCATATTTTTTAATTATATTAATCAAATTTGATATTTAAATTTTAGATGGAACTAAAAATTTCACTTTGTTTTTTTTTTTTAAATTGTTTTACGGTCTGGTTCTATTAGCGTACGTTAATTAGAATAATCAAATTTAATATTTAAATTTGTGATGGAACAAAAAATTTCATTTTTCTAGACTATTTTCTCATGTTTGTTTAGCATTTTTTGATTACAATAATCAAATTTAATATCAAAAATTTCGATACAGCGAAAAAAAAATTTTAGTCTCTTTCATTGTTTTCGAATAAATTCAATGATAATTTGTTATTTCAGAAGAGATAAGCGGTGTTTTTGTGAAATCATTGGTGCCTAATTCAAGTGCTTTTCATTCAAAAAAAATACAATTAAATGATCTCATCTTTGAGGTATATATTTTAATTCATCTTTTTTATATTAACAACCAAATAGTTTCATTTAAATTGTTTTGTATCAAACAAACATAAATTAGATATATCGATAGTTTAATTTCTAAGTTTTAATTGGTAATTTTTAAAAAATAAATTATTTTATAAAAATCCTCCCACTTATTAAATTCTTAAATTTATCACAATATTGTTAGTTTGAATTTGCCTTTTTTTTTTGTGCCATATCTCGGTTTAAATTTTTTCTTTTCTTCATGTTGTGCCATTTTTTTTTATTGTTTTCGTGTCATTTAATTATATAATTTGATAATTTCAATTCTTTTCAAGTGGCGACAACAAATTATTGAAAAATAAATTAACAAATAAATAAAATTAATTTAATAATATTCTTCGTGCACTTTCGAATGAACAATGTGCAAAAAAAAACTTTCCGAAATAAAATTTTCAAAAAAAAAAAAATTTAATTTCTAAATGATTTTAGATGAAAATTACATCAAAATTTCTTTTTGCTTACTTTTTGTTTTTTTTTTTTTTTTTTAGTAATTCAAGCAAAAATTTCTGCTCCTATCGGCATATTTGCTATATTTTATTTTACAATGTATATTTGAAAAATAATTTATGGTTTAATTTAATAGCTATCAAATAGACATTCCTTTCTCTTTCCCATTTCTCTTTTTGAATTTTTCTTTTTTTTTTAAATGATTGATTAATATCTAAGCTTCTATTTGAATTTATTTCATTTTTTATCCTTAAATATATAAACTATCTTCTTCCTCATTCAAATACTCTTTTCTTTCCTTTCTTTTTCCCTTTCTTTCACATTTCAACAAAGAGAGAGAAAAAAAAAAGGAAATAAGAAAAGCCAAAAATTCAAAATCAGTCAATTTCCTTTTTTTTTTTTTCATTCTTTAACTAAACAAATAAAAAATATCGCTCATTTTTAGAATTTCAAAGTAATAATTCGTCTTTTTTTCTTTTTAAATCCATCCCTTCCCAATTTTTCTTTTTTGTTTTTTTTTTGAAAAAAAAAAAGGAATCTTTTTTTCAATTTTATTGCTATTTTGATAAAAGAAATTTTTTTTTCTTTCTTTCACAAAAAAAAAAAGAAAAAATAGTTTTAAAATGGGAAAATTAAAGTGCATAATTTACGAATTTGCATAATTTTTTTGCTAGTTTTTATTTCAAAATTTCATTTTAGTAATATAGCAGAAGAAATTAATCGATAATTTTTGAAGATAATCAAAAAGAGTTAAGCATTAAATTAGGAAAAGAAAAAAACTAAAACTAAAACAGGATATTCGAACTTCTTGATTGATTTTTTTATTTCATAATATTATTATCAATTATATCATTTAACATGCATTTATCATTTTTGCTGTTATCGGTTAATTTTCATATTTATTTTATTTCAATGCATGCAAATTTTCTAAATTTGGTTAACATAAGTCAATCATAACAGTTAACATTTTATACATACATATGACAGTACTGTATTAAAAATTTAAATTCTAAATTTAAAAAAAAAAAAAATAGATTGCATCCCTTTATTACTAAATTTAGCAATCTGTCTATGATAGTAATTAAATAAGTAATTAATCGGGTTTCTCCATCTTCTCATCTAAAAATTATAATTTGTTTGATTTAATAAATGTTAGAAATTAAATTGCAGAAATAAATATCGAATGAATTTTACTTTTTTGTTCCAGCAAAAATTTATTCTTCAAAAGCTTGTTTAAGTCTAACAGAGGTTGTTGTTCTTTTTCGAAGAAAATTTTAAATGGTTATCAAAATTTAAGATTTATTGAATTTATTTTCGCTGAAAAATTGGAAAAATAAGTTAAAACTAGAAATTTTCAATTCTTAACTTTCAACTATAACCATTATATTTTGAATGCAGCTAAAGGTCAAGGGTCAAGCGTTTTAGATTGTTTGGTGCAAGAGCATGATGGTAGATAATGACAGTTTACTTATCTTCTTTGGCTTGTTCAGTATTTCTCTATTGGATTAATTGAATTTTATGTCATTTAAATACTCAAATAAGAAGAGAATGATAGTTGTAGTTGTTAAGAGAAAATATCATTTTGGTCCATTTTACTGATAGCACTTATGCAATCATTTTCTTCTGATTAATGAAAAATCCATTGAATAACGTTTATGGACTCATTTTTATACAGGTAAGTAATAAATCCATTGATAATACTGATAAAGTCTATGTATTCATTCTTTACAGGTAAATGATAAATCATTGGAAGGTTTAAATCATAGTGAATCAATACGAACATTGGTGAATAGCGGGACAAGAGTAAAGATAAAATTAATTCGTTTTTTACCTGGTTCACCGCAAGCTGAATGTCTTGCAATGCTTCAACGACAAGTAACTTTCTAATCTTTCAATAATTAATTACTGTACTACTGATAACAATTATCACCACCATTATTGTTTATATATTTTTATTGCTTAATTGTTTATTTACGAGTGAATATATGGTGGCTAATCAATTAGGTAACCATTTAAACAATTACAATAGCTTACCTAAACGATAAACAATTAAGATAAGTTACCGTACTTCCTTTTTGAAAAGATAAATTTACAAGTTAAAAAAGATGGAAATATTTCTCTTGATATACTCCTAAGATTAAAGAGTAAATTAGCATTAACTATGCTAATCTACTGGACTAAAGATAATCATACATTCAAGTCTACTAGTCTTATTCTTACTTTATTTAATCTAGATCATAAACTCTAAGATTTTTCCCTTAATTATCTTAAATGAAGCTAAAATTTATGCTAACTGTCCTTAATTTTACAATTCAAATAATTGATTCGTACTTTCTTTCGTTTTTTTTAACGCAGGAAGCGACAGCTCAAGTGATAGATGTTCAGAGCACACTACGTGATGTAGTAGCAGACTGGAAACATCGACTTGGTTCTGAGTTTGAAGTGGTCAGTGTGGATTTAATCCCGGATAAATGCGAAGATGGTGGTCTAGGTATTTCGCTAGAAGGTACAGTGGATATTTTGAATGGTGCCGAACTTTGTCCACATCATTACATCGATTCACTTAGGCCTGGTGGACCAGCTGCTTTCTCAAATGCTCTCCGCTCAGGTGATGAATTATTACAGGTATGATTTTTCATAAAATTAGTTCAATTAATATTTTCCTCAAAGTATCAACTTTCAAAAAAGATGATAACATTCGGCTTTCTTTCTAGCCTAATTAAATACATATAATCATCGATCTATAGCTTTCATACATCGAATAATTTGTTAAAAAAATTATAGGTTAACGATGTAGTATTATATGGCGAATCACATGTAACTGTAAGACAAGCGCTAATTAAGGCTGCATCTACATCACAAAAAGTTAGGCTTACAGTAGCAAGGAAAGTTCAAACTGTAAATGTATTCATGCCAAGGCCTGAAGAAAGCCTTCCAATGGCATATCCTTTATTGGCTGCTACAGATGATCGTCTTGTCAAGGTTAGCTTAGCTTAATTGGGCTATCCCTAAATAAGGATTTTTTTTTTTTTAAATTATCATAACTCCGCAAAATATAATCCATCGATTGATCTATTGATTTAAAATCGATTCGTCATTTAATTGATTGAAAATGAAATCAGTTAAATTAGTCGAATTAGTCGGTCAACTTTCATCCTATTAGGAAACTAATTTGCCTATATCGTTGTCCAACGATATACATTTATTCGGGATGTAATATAGTTCTTGCATATTATTACTAACTAACACAAAAAAAAGTATAAGTACATGATAAATTGATAAGTAATGATAAATGAATCCTACTCCTTATCATTACTTAAACTATCAGTTTGTTGATAGATTGCATAATGGTTGAAATATAAGAATTCATCCTTCGTTGAGTTGGAGATATATGTTGCAGGAAAGGTAATCTATATAGATGAAAGAAGGGAAGGAATATTGTAATTTATAGTCTAATGGTGACAAATAGATGAAATGGACATTATGATCTGCTTGATTGTAAAAAACTGACTGTATTGAATTTTTTCTACGTATATGTATCCTAGAATTAGAGGAAGAATTTTGGTAAGCTTCATCGTGATTATCATGGAGATATGATTGACCCTTAGCATTGTCCATTGTGAAGCCATGGATAGATACTGAGATGTCTTTCTGATATTGTCTCCATTGTTAGCTTATATCCTCTTCATTACATTAATTTTACTTACAAGATTTCATCTTGTTTGATAAATATTGTAGAAATTTTATTTGAACGTAACTGTAATTCCGATAATTCGACACATCTTTTTTGTTAGCATCCTTTCAAGTTAATAATTTATGCATAATCTTTTATTGCGACGTTGAAATGTTGATGACACTTATTTTGTGCAATCCTTTCATAATATTGACAAATAACATGTCTTTTAAAAAAAAAAAACAAATGAAATCAAATTTGCTTCTTTAAAATTTAAATTTCTTCATTTTGCATTCAGCTTCACTTATGTAAATTTCCAAATTCAAAAACTTCATAACTAGAAGGTTCCATATCGATTAGTGTGTTTCCGGAAGTGGTAAAAAAGAAAGGGAAAAATCATTTTAACATTTTTTTGCACTTTTAGAGAATTTGCTTTTAACATTCGACCTCGGAACAGAAATGGTACATGATACCTAAAGATGTCATTTATTAAACTGGATGAAATTTATCAGAGATAATTTCAGGCTAAATCAGAAACTTGTCTAGCAAAAACTTTAGATTCAACGATCGCTGTGCTAGAACAGGTACCACAAATTTCTTCAGTTTTAAATGAAAATTTTAAGATATGATGTAACTTTTAAGGTTATTTTATTTTGTTAGCTCATTAATAAGTTGATAATTGTTTAGACATCTTATCTTAGGTCAAATAAATCTTTGGAAAATTGCATCTGATACATTGGTAAATATCCATTTTAGGTATCACGACGTTTACGATCCCGATCATTACAACTTTTCAATGGATTAGCTATTTGGCGCTGTGTCCCAATAATCGTGCAATTAGAGAAGGACAGTCGTGGTTTAGGATTCTCAATTGTTGACTATCGGGTGAATATTTTTGTCAACTTATCACATTTCGATTAATGAATAAATGTCTGAATAATTCCTGCTCAACATGTTGTCGTAATATTTAATGTTTAAATAATTTAATTGATTAATGAAGTTTTAGGATCCATTACATCCAGGACAATCGGTGATTGTTGTACGATCATTGGTACCAGGTGGCCTAGCACAAGCAGATGGTCGTATAATCCCTGGTGATAGGTTAATGTTTGTAAACGATGAAGATTTATCAAATAGCACATTGGAACATGCGGTTGCTATCCTGAAATCAGCTCCTGATGGCTTAGTCCGATTAGGTATTGCAAAACCGGTTTCCATTGAAGAGGTTTGTAATATTTTTTTTCTCTTTTTCTTTTTCCATATCATATTTATCAATGAAAAAAAAAAAATAATAAGATTTTATAGGCCTAAAAATATCAACATTTATTCATTTACGTCATTCATTCATACACTAGCCAGTATTAAATGAGCCATAATAGATTTACCTATAAAATGAAAAAGGAAATATAATACTTCTAAAAGTATATTTTATGATTTTGTTGATTCATTTTATGCATTTCGTGATTATGAATCATATATTTCCTCATGAATTATTGATATTTTTAGCTAATTCTTTCGAATTTTTCCCTTCTCTCTCTCTCCCTCTCTTTTCCCTCTCTCTCTCTTTTTCTCTTTCTTCTAATAAATTACAAATAAATGGGAAAAAAGTGAATTTTTACAATTCCAATGATAGTTTTTTTTTTAATGTTAAATTCTTCTCTTTTTATTCTTT